ATTTACCATAGGTCAAAGGATCACTCAAGGCGTTCTTAGGGCTGTTACCGATCCAATAAGAATATACTGCCCCAAGGCTCACTGCGTGGGCCTGCGGCTTATATATGCAGCATCCAGGGTATGCCCGCGCGCTAAGACTGAAACAGGTAAATGGGTTGATTGACCACCAGCATTCTGATCTTGTTTCCTACAGCTAACTTACATTCTAGGCCTTTGAATGAGAGGAAACGGTGCGGGTAGCATCAGACCAACCCATACCATGCCAACCGAGCTCAAAAGAGACCTGTCGACATACGAGGACTCGTCCACAAAGTCCTCGGACTCGAAAGCCAAAGTTCAACGAATATTCTTGGCATCATCAAGGGCTATGGATGGCGGTCTGTACTGTCGCGCTTGGCCCGGTTCTCTCGGTGTCGGGCTGCCGATGGTGAGGTGCTATGGTTCAGCCACACACTAGGCCGGGAACGATTCTTCTCCGACATCTATCGGTTGCGGATCGGGAGCATAGAGGCGCATACCGGCACGCTTCTCGGGACCGACGGCGGGGTTCACCGTATCCACTGCCTCAAGCAGTAAATACGCGGTCTCTACACCTCTTGAATGTCATCTGCTCGATGTGTGCTGAGCTATAGTTATAATCCGGCGTGCGCGATACACATTCTAAGATGACGAACCGGGGGAACGGTATACGCCTTACTACATCGTCCCGGCTATGTTATGAATTCTCATCACTGGTTCGTTTTGAGTTGAGGCCTCCCTTGAACATGCTTTTACTCCCATACCGTAGTGACGCAGCCAACCTGAACCCTGTCAGATGTCCACCGCTATCTTTTCCTTGTGGCTGAGGCTCACAGCACCAAAGAAGGCTAATAGCACGTTGAAGTATCCCAAAGGGTACCTGCATCTCACGTCAACGGTCAATTGTTCATGCCTTTAAACTTTCCAAACTCTGTCACTTACTGGAAAGGCCCGAAAGACTGAGCACCATCGTCTACTTGTTTCGATTCATTACAGCAACGCACCTCTCAGACACTGTATATCTTTGAACATGGCGTCCAGCGATCCAAAGCCACCAAAAAGACGAACAGGTCGACACCGCCTTCCACCGCTCGCACAGGGTCCTGCCCTCCAATTCATCGTTGCAACTCATCCAGACGATTTTCGGGCTACGACAGTCCTGAGAAACGTACGATCACATGTCATGTACAAGCACCAGGAGACTCGAGCATCGTCACCTGCGACTCTGGCCAGAAGCCGCGAAAGTAGCAATGGACCAAGTGCTTTAATACGGACCCCGAGTCCGGCTACAACAGACTCCTTTGGGATACTATCGACCAATGCACATATGGTTCCTGCATATAGTAGAGGCTATGAATCTGCGTTGAGTCTGCATGCTTTTGACGCTTATTCCCCGTCATCTCCAACCGATTCTCTACGAAGTCTGGCTGCACGAATTCTATCAATAGCAAGCCCAACATCTACTCATAGCGCACCTCCAGCCTGTGAAGAGGGTTCAGAGTACCCATTTCCGAGAAGGAATACCTTTCAAAACGAGTCTCTATGCAATCTGAAGCGCGAGTGGATTCGCAATACCGTTTTGTTTTGCCATGGTGAGTCATTGCACAGAAGCCTGACTGTTGCTCATGGTTACAGATCAAGCATGGATGCGTTATGTTTGCGACAGTCACCTATCCTTTCTCAGCCACGTGTATGCTACCTTGGTCTACCATGACATTGACGAAGGTTTGCTGTACGACAGCCGCCTCACCGTATTCGCCAAAACCAAGATTCTCAGCCTGATTAGCAGTCGCTTGGATACAGACAACGCTACTATCATATGCATACTACATCTTATTGTTAGTGAAATCGGGAGTGTCAACGAGGGTGTATTCAGTGTGCACCGCGATGGTTTGGCAACCTGCTTAAGGAGCCATCGAGAAGGGCTGAATTCGGGCGTTGCCAGATTCATGACACTGTATGTGTCTCGACACTCACACAAGCCATCAGCTAACCGGGGCAGAATAATGTTGACGTTTACCATGGCAAGAAATCAGCCTGAATCTGTAGAATTCACGCCATGGTTTCCATCCAAAACATTGTCCGATAATGGTATCCTAATCTCGCCACTTTCGCCTCCTATCACACATGCCTCACACTTGTACCGTGTTTGTTCAGTAGGAACAGCGGGAATCATCATGGAGATTCAAAATTTTACAGACATGTTTCTTGCGCGATGGAACCATACCGGCGATGGACAAACAATTTCAAGTGGACAATTAGCCAATTGCGACTCGCAGCTCCAGTCCATCTACTCACGTCTTCTCTTACTGCCATCCACGGAGAGCGACATCACACCAGATTGGATTTACGAGAGCTGCCGTATTGCAGCTTTGATCTACTGTCGATCGATGGTCCATGGAATAAGCCTCGCAGAATCTGCAAGCAATGTCCACCCAGCGACTGCCGGGTCCGACATGAAGAGTGCTACACTGCTATCAGCTCTCCACGAGACGCTTGAGAAAACAAACAAACAGAGCTGCTGGGGCCATGATCTGACGGGTGTCTTTCTATGGGTAACTCTCGTAGGAGCTTCGGCATCGTGGACTTCTGCGCGCCTTGAATCTAAAGACGATTCGCAGACAGCCATTTGGGCAGCAAAGTGCTTCTCACTACATGCAGTGAGAGCTGCAGTATCAGTATCTTCTGACAATATCGATGCTACGATCTACGCCTTGCGCGTGTTCTTGAAAGTCCGACACTGGGTTGCGGTCAAGGCTGGCTCCCTAGGTTTGGCCCGATAGGCAGTTACTCCTACCCAGCATTAGTTTCCTCTTGTTTCGACTGTTTCAACATCTACTATATTCGTAAGCTAGTGCGAACTTTACTTAGGATTCAATCTCTGGAAGCTTGACATCTTTATTGTTTGGGTTGATCTGGTATCCAGCTCATGTCATACTATTATCTATCTCATTACACCCAAAAAGGATAAAGCCCAACCTTCTGCCTTCAAGCCTCGCATTTTTATTACTCGTTACTCTACTTTCTATTTTGTATCCAATTTATTTTCTCACTTTGCAAGCCACAAACGCTATAAAACACAATTCCATGCTGGTCATGTAAAAGTTAGATTCTGCTCTCTCAGCCTCTAATCTCATTAATTGTTCATCAAATCACCTTGACAAATACCGGTTTTCCAGTCGCCACACCATACTCTCTCTACCTTAGACTGCTGACGCAACCAGGCCTCCCATCTTCGCCCGAGGAAATCATATGCGAACAAAAGGCTGAATCTGCTAGCAGGGATACCGCTTACTTTTCCCTGTAACACAGGTCATCATTCCAAACTGCCGCGGACGAGGAAAAATGTACCAAGCCCAACTTATCTCTCAATCTCTCTCTCTCTCTCTCTCTCACACACACACAAACACTGTACCATTCAACCAAGTCCACACCTGATCATGCAATACACACCACGCTCAAAAAAATTAGGAAGCCCACTCATTTTTTTTACATCTTCATACAGACTGCCCACCCAAAAAAATTTCAAAAAAGATTCACTACTTCCTTAAAGCCTTCACACATAACCCCCCCCCCTTTACCCCAGCCACCTCTCGTCATATCTGACATAACCCCCCTCCCTCCATCCCTCCCGTTACACCACCCCCCTCTCCCCCCAATCTCACCCTTTTCTCTTTCCCCCTTCCCCTACATTCCCTTCCCTTCCCTTCCTTGCACAACACACATCCCCAAACACCCAAGCCACCCTCAAGCCCCAAGCCGCGTACACACCCACCCTTGTACCCTCTCTACCCTCTTATGCATCCACATCCACATCCCCACTCATCACCACCACCCCAAAGAAATCCGAAAACAGGGACCCCGCATGTTCGCATGGTGTTCGACCCCGTCTTCTTTTTTTTTCGCTTTGAAGAGTTAGGTTGGGGGGTTTGTGGGTAGGACTTATGGGTGCGTGTGCGTGTGCGTGTGTGTGTAGGGCTGTGAGGACTTGAGCTCCGCGGAGCTGAGGAGGAGGAGGTTAGGGTGGTGGTTTCGTTGCTTTTTTTCGTCTGGAGGGGTCGAAGTGGGGGGAAGAGGGGATGGGAGTGATGAGTGGTCAAGGGGGACAAGTTTTGTTAGATGAGGAGGTGAATACTTGGTTGGGTTGGGTGGGGGTTGCCTGTGAGCTTGTGTTTTTTTTTAGTTAACCCTTTTTCTTTTTTGTATATGGTTATGGCTGTTGTTGGTGTTGCTGGTTTTTGTGGTCAGGATGCAGAATATAGGGACGCATGGTTTTGTTTTGGACATGTTGGGTATCAGGGTTTGTAGGGGCTCTGAGAGATGTGCTTTCTTTATCTTGAGCGGCTAGATGGGGTGATTTTAGATTTTATTTCTTATTCCCAGGTTTGATTGGAGGCTATTTAAGAGGAACTATTGAGTCGCGGACATGGAGAAACTTGGGTCAAGGCTTTCGCTACGGTCACATGGATGATGAGTAAGCAATATGGAGGATGTGTTGGATTCAGTAACTTTATGACCTTGTCACTCATCAAAACAATTGCCCTTCCTTTCTTTCGTGAAGTAATTGGCGCAGATTCTAGAAGGATATCGTTAGTATATTTTTGCTAATCCGCCCACGCTGGTATATCAGTTGCTTACCTCAAGGGAAGAGCCATTTGACAATATAGTGGTAGCGAGCAATTTCTTGCGATCTTGGACTTTGAGAATGTGCTATCGATGAATATGTTAGCTTCTGTCGTAGGGTTTGATGAAAGTAACTTTTTGCTTTCAAGTACCTCTTCAAACGAGTCTTCCATGACATAGCGTATGGTTGTCACGGGACGGGTCTGTCCTAATCGATGGATTCGGGCAAGTGCTTGATCTTCGAGAGATGGGTTCCATTGAGGCTCGAGAAGATGTGCCGTCGAAGCTGCCGTTAGGTCCAAACTGGGATAGTTGTTAAAAGACAGAATGATTTAGTGAATATTGTCTACATGAACATACCCACATGCACCACAACCAATCGTGATCAGTATGACGCGTACGCTAGGATTGTGGTGGAGCTGCTGTATAGCATTGCTGCGGTTCTTCAGCTGTACTTTGCTGTCGATTCGGACCGATTGAATGATGTGGTTTGGGTCACACCGAAGCGCCGTCTCCACCATATCGAGACTTGAAGTCCACGACGAGAACACAACACTAACGGTAGGTCAGCTTGAGATATGTCATAGCTCCTAATAGACTTACTGTTTTTCGTCTGGACAAGACTTAATCTGCGACACAAGTGTCCATATTTTACTTGAAATATCCTTGGTATGGTCCCACTCCATTGTTGAGGGAGAAAGATCGCCAACGGGTGTAAGTCTAGGGGTGGACAAGAAGGAGGCCAAGGGATGAAGTTGACAGGCTCGCGGCTGCTCTGTACACTCGCATGGATTGGGTGATTGGTATCGGAGTAGCGCAGAGCAATCAGAGCAGTAAAATATGCTGCAAGCTGAAAGATAAACCTGTGGTTGTGTAGCATCCCGGAGTCCATCCCCAGACGTGGATGCTTCAATTGGCTGTAAGCACTGTGCGCATAGTTCTCCACCCATGGAATAGCGCGCGTTCATCAAAGCTGTTCTCTCATCGACACTCCCCGACTGTGGTAAGTGACGAGACTGTGACGGAGTGGAAATCCCCAGGTTGCAGACAAGGCGAAGTTTGTTGATCTGTTGTATGGCAGTCATCCAGGGCACGTTAGTTTGGCAGCCACTTTCTGTGGCACGATCCAGCATATCAACAACGGGTTGCTCGATTTGGCGATAATGTTTTTCCTCCTCATGACTAAACGGCACACGGATCAGTTTGTCAGTTCTACTGGGCAGGTCCAAGATAGCTTTTGTTCGACGTATCATGACACACGAGAGTAACTTCTTAAAAGCCTCGGCGGCTTCCTCAGCGGGCCTGACACGCCACAAGTTCGTGATATCGTCATCGAAAGCTCTTGGGTCGTCGTATGGGGAGAAATGAAGAAATTTGAACAGGCCATAGAAGTCGAGCAGGCTATTCTGAATCGGGGTTCCCGAGACTCCCCATCTAGAAGTTGCTTGTAGTGCGGTTATTGCTTGCGCAGTCGAGGTATTGTGGTTGCGTATAGTGTGCGCTAAAGAAAACTCCTATTAGTATTGGACCGTAAGCTGTGACGTTCTTTCGAACCTACCCTCGTCGAGGATAATACGTCTCCAGTGATGAGATAATAAGGAGCTGCTGCCTTGAGCGCGCTTACGATGTTCTCTCTCGATCGTCTGATAGGTGGTAAAAACTATGTCTAGTCGACAAGTTCAGCGTCAGCGTCAGTTTCGCTTGCAGCTTCTGAACTAACAAAACGTACCGGGTAACATTTCCTTGCTCTCCAGTTTGAATTTGTGTCTTCCATGATGCATGAACCATGTCAATTTGCTATCGTGCAAATGACTAGGCAATGGGATTAGAAAGAGCAATCCTCAATATAATTTGTCACAACATACCTTCTTAGTTGTGATTCCCAGACACTGAACACTGCAAAATTGGTCAGCATGTATGAAGCCATACGATATACACTTACTTACAGCTCAGCGGGACAACTATCAGAGTTGAGCTTAAGGAAGCGCCATATATGGGGTGATCCGTTAACGAATTATCATTGAAAGTGCTATCTTGGTCCGAAGCAATCAGAGCGATCATGCTTAGCGTCTTTCCAAGACCCATCTCATCAGCAAGCAATCCACCGCGCCACATAGGGCCTGGGGTAGATTGTGCCTCATCTGTTATGGAGTTTACGAAACTGTTACACATCGAGTTTTAGCGTTGAGACTCGGAAGGATACTTCAGCAATACGCACCTAGACTTTCCTTCACTACATTTTCGCAACCATATACCGAAACCATCCTTGTTCGGATGCATACCTTGTTCGCGTTTCAAGAAGAAAGTCAAAGCTTGCCTCTGATGTCTACGATTTCATTACACACGTGCTCGCTCATCTCGAGGCGGGTTGCTTACAATTTCAATTCGGTGCATAGAGCTGTTGGGGTATTCGATAACTCGAGATCATCGGTAGTCTCGAAGCCAGACAAGACATCAAGAGAAGCTCTTGAGTAATCGTGGATATGGGGCTGTTGAGGTTGCAGCAGCTCAAGCGTCATTGGTGGTTGTTCGTGAAGGCTGAATAGACATTGAGGGTTCATGTAGGGGACGTTGCGATCACAACTAACAGGATCATCCAAGTAGCAGCCAGCTTGAGTCATAAAATCGCCAACGTCATTAAGGCGACATCTTGGCCCATATATGATGACTCCAAGGAATTTTGAAGCTTTTTTGGCCGACTTCCTCTCGGCTGCGGGGGCGATTGGAGTCGACGAGAGTAGAAGTTGTAGTATGAGGTCGTCGTCGTCAACCAGCCTCAGTAGCAACTCGCCCGCAAAGTCGTCTAGTCGTCCAACGGGCGCATCGGCAACGCCACACCTGAGTGTGCGAGGGGGTTCAAAGTGGATCGGGTGTTGGGTCGAGACATCGGAGGTGAGGTGGTGCAGGAGAACGTTTACTATCAAATCCGATATCTGGATAAAATGTAAGATAACGACGAAGCTGAGTTGAAGACGACAAACCATGCCATAGCACACCAAGGTGTTTTCGCATATCTCTTCTACAGCAGTGCAAATAGGGGATGGTGCTGGTGTTGTGTCGGCTAAGTGTGCGCACTCGGATCCATTGCAAAGGTGCTCACTTGCGATGCGTCCTGCACGAGGGGCATTTAGGCGCCGCCGTTTCGAAGCCGGGGGAGCGACATCATCGACGACGATACCAGGAAGACAAGACAGCATGCTGTCGGCCGACTACGAGTGCAAAAAGCGGTGTCTTGCGAGTTGTCATGGTGAACGTCTAAGAACTGCGGGAGTTGGCCTGGATCTAGAGTAGCTGCGTAGATGCATAAACACAGCCACCGGGGCTGAGCATGACTGCGAACCGCAAGGCTACTCTACAGATGCCTCGCCAGCCTCGGGTGTGCTGTTGGCCACCTTCACGCAACTTCTTCTCAAACCCTTATATTGTTTGTGTTCAAGAAGTAAGCAGTCTACTACCCCAGGCTTCATCGCACATCGGCGGCTTGTTTGTACTAGTACGGCCCGATGGCGGCTCCTTCGGCCCAGGCCACCCTTACGCTACAAGACGCCTTCGAGCGGTTTGCGTCCACCGTAACGCCAGAAGACCGGCGACTTTTTCATAACACGCAGCTCAAGGATGTCCGGGAAGAGGCTATACGTATTGAGCGGCAGCTCCGTGCTCGTCGCATGCAGAAGAATATGGCGCGGCTTGACCCATTCCTACGAGGGATGGAGCATTACTCCAAGGTCGTTGAGGTGCTGTGCAACGGCACACCTTATCTTGCCTGGATCTGGGCGCCAGTTAAACTCATGCTTACTGTATTATGAGCCTCGTATCTTCGTTCATTTCGTATCGCTTATTGTATATCATTAGATCGCTGTCGATTCCATTAGTGCTTTCGAAAAGTTGATAGAAGCATACGGCAAGATCGCCGACATGCTTCCTCGCCTCGACCGACTCAGTCATGCACTTTCCGACGACCACAACTTTCAGAACGTCTTGGCTTTGGTCTACTCCGACATTGTAGAATTCCATCGGCGAGCCTACAAGTTTGTGCGGAGAAAATGTAGGTTTTCCAGTTGTGTTACATTGTGCTCCGCTCATAACTTATAGCATGGGCTATATTCTTTGGCTCAATGTGGGCTGGGTTTGAATCTCGGTTCAACGGGATATTGAAAAACTTAGCATACCATGGAGGGCTGGTTGACAAAGAAGCCGCTGCGGCGGAAATCTCCGAAGCTGTTCGACGTAGCAAGGCTGACGACGAGAAGTGGGAGCAGCAAGAGCGTGAGTGGAACGCTGTAAGTATACAATAACTCTATACATTTATGAGAGACACGAGCTGATTTAGCACACCAAATCCAGGCTAAAATCCAGAAAGTCCTAGCTTGGCTTGGAACAAATGAAACACTCCAAGCCGACATACTCGAACGGTATATGGAAGATTACTTGCCAGGGAGCTGCGAGTGGTTTGTACAGCACAAAGAAACCCAATTATGGCTGGGAGATAGCGCAAAGAATTCTCTACTATGGCTTTGCGGAAAGCCGGGAGCAGGTATGTTCCTATACTACCACTGTTGATCACTTGTATAACTGTTTGAAGGAAAATCCGTGATATGCTCTAGTGTTGTGCAACATGCAGAGGCGAATGCAGTTCACATTTTCTACTGCTTTTGTAGTTTCCTTGGAAGCCATTCCGATGGTCCAAACCGTCTGCTGCGATCCATCATCTCGCAGGTCCTCCAGAAGCATCAGGATCTCGCAATCTACGTTCATGACGTCTACTTCACTTCCCACCCAATGCCAACGAAGAAGGCATTACTGAGTCTTCTCCCTGAACTTCTCCAAGGGCTGGGCTCTGTAAGGCTTGTTATAGATGGTGTTGACGAGTGGAGTTCACGAGATCAAAAAGAGCTTCTCAAAGATCTTGCCGAGCTGGTATCTCCTGTTCATTCTACCCATAACTGTAAGATTATGATTGCCAGCCGAGAGACGATGGAAATTTCACGATCTTTGCGCAAAAAGGAAAAATCAGTAACAAAAGTCTCTCTCAGCAACGCCAACGAAAGCTTTGCAGTTACCCGCGCGATTGCCAATTTTATTGATAGCAAGCTTTCTGATCTTCCTGATCATTTTGATGAGCTCGATCCCGATGCATCTATCCTAGCTCATGTCAAAGAAACTCTACGTAAGAAGTCGCATGGTAATTGTTGCCTAGCCTGCTAATTAACGTCTTACCTTCTAACACTTGCATAGGTATGTTCCTGTGGGTAAACCTCGTGCTGAAATCACTTGATACGGTTTACAGCCCCGAAGAGCTGCGTACAATCGTCGATGATCTTCCCTCTGATCTCGAAAATCTCTATGATCAAATTTTCACTCGTCTCTGCAGCGCTCCAGGTGCGCGTAATTACGGAGGCGTGCCGGGTGTCATGAGCTGGATATGCTTTGCCCAGAGGCCTTTGCACAAGTCAGAGCTACTGCACGGACTGTCGATTTTTCCATACAACTCGAGCTCTCAGGTCCAGAGTATCCCTGTCGCCTCTATACTAGATCACTGCAAGCCGCTCATAGAAGAACTCCCAGATTCGACAATAGTACCAGTCCACTTTTCGGTGAAAGAGTGAGTCTCCCGATGAGCTGAATGCACAGTGTCTAATGCCCAAAAGGTACTTCCTCAAAGCTCAAACACCACAGATTGTCCCAGCAATCAAAGCCGCTCTAGATATTTCATCCGCTTGCGCCATCATCATTACCCGCAGTCTCAATCTTTTGCGGTTTAAAAGCAACTCTCTTGAATACCTTACTCAAGTTGCGAGTGGTAACTATAGGCTTCTACCGTACGCGATAGAGTTTTGGATCGAACATTGTTCGCAATATGCATCGGGAAGAGACAGTCTCGGTATGGAACAGCAGCTCGAAGATCGTCTGACACAAATGCACGAGATACATGAAAACTGCTGGCATGGACTTGGGCGTACAGTAAATCGGGTTGAGACGAGGGACAAAGCCAACGATAGCCACCTGGACGAACGACTCCGGCTTTTTTCTGGCATGAAGATCTATCAATTGATGGCAGATCTACTAAATCTCAGAATATTAGCCAGTAAACTAGATGGCGATGAAAGCTCAGGTAAGTCCAGACTCAATACGATACCCCGTCACCAAGCTGCCCATCAGCTCATAAAGCAATTCCCAGATATCGAGACGTACTTGATCAACAACGACCAAACGCTCTTTAGTCAGCTTTCCCAAAAATACGAAAATGCAATTGTGCATCTTTTGGCGCAGCATGAAGTTGAAGGCATCTCATCAGCACTACTCCGAGCATTTCAAGAGTCGTATGCTTCGAACGCCTTTTTTTGCCGCTTTCCACATTGTGATCGGCTATCTTTGGGCTTTCCCGCTGCACAACTCCGGTGCGAACATGAGGTCGTTCATATTCAACGCGTGTATTGTCAGACAGCATCCTGTCAGTATAGCCGTATCGGATTTGCAAAGAAATCCGCACTCAAGGCGCACACGCGCAAACATCATGGCCAGTCAAGCATTCAGCTCATGCCCGCGAAAGTGCGCAGTTCAAAGCCAACGTTGGCAAATAGTGAAGAGACCTCCACTATGACTCCATCCAGTCCCTTTCTTGCAGTAAAATTAGTTCCGGAGCAGTCTCCTAAACCTCCGCAACGACAACAATCAGTGGAACCCCAATCTTCATCTCAATCACGCCGATATGATGACGGCTCGCGATTGGGCTTCAATTATGACTTGAAAGACGCTGATACGCCTCCCCAGCGGCTGGACATGCAAACAGTACGGGAAGACTACGAATATCAACTTCGACTTTTAGAAAATCAAAATAAAAAAAGAAAGATAGTAGTCGACGAAACAGCGAAGAAATTGATGGAACATTGCCGAAAAGAAGTTCGCCAGAAGTTTGAAGACGATGTTCTAAATTGGCCTGAAGCTGAGAAGAAACAACTCTTAGGACAAGGCATTGATCCTATTTTTCGCCGCTTCCAATTACATGCCAGTATGCTATGCGACAGTAACGGCCTGGATGAAATGACGGAAAGATTAAATGCAAGCGTATCGATAGAGTTTCCACAAGACCTGACTGGGGAAGATGAAGTGGCTCTAGACAATTACCTACTCAGTAGACTCAATCCTTACATTGACGGAGGAGAATTCTCTCCTCATCAGGTTGGTCTTGAGACTCCTGTGGTAACTTTTAAACCTGTTCAGCAAGGAGAGTCACAAGGTTTCCACGCTCCCCAGGAAGCCGAGTAAGATCAACCGTGGCCCTACTTGGAGAGATCTAAGCCTTCCCATCTTCTCAGAGCACAATCGACTGACCCGCACGATGATTATCCAAAAAGGCAGCCTCATCCGTCGGTCGACTTGGAGGGAGATGTGAACTCCAGCTCAAGTCACGATCCTCGTATTTCGTCTCGTTCAGATACAAACATCCTTGACTTCCCCCCCATCCGCATCCCCCATTTACCAAGCTAGAATCGGTTCATGGAAAGCTGCCGCCTATTTCTGGAGTGCGCGATTATGGGTCACCCTCGGCTACCGCAGTCTCGACATCTACTACCAAAGGAGGATCAATAAGTGATCGCTCTCAGGAACCATCTCCAAGCATATGATCACATGTGTCGAGTGGAATATCCTCTTGAAATCAGGATCAGTTCGCGTCTTCACGACCGACAAGGAAGGGCCTGAGAGCCATAGAGTCGGGGGAAAGAGGCCATTTCTCAGTCAACACCAACCGATTGCTATCGACTGAAAGAGAAAAAATAGCGAGATTTAGACCCCCATGATATTACACCCTACCAGGCTGTCAGATCGTCTCACCAATGATACGAATAATGTCCAGAAATTATGTGGATTGTATGTGATATGAATATGTGCAGTCTAAAAGGATTTACAACGAAGAAGACCAATAGTACACAAAAGCACGTTGGTGAATTACACTACAAAAGTAATGAAGCTGAACCCTCCCTCTCATAAGGGAAGCGCCGAATCGAGGGCGCCCCAAAGCCTATACAAATCGGTAAACACCAAAGTGTTCCATACCTGTTCATTTAGATACTCTCTCGTATTCAACGTGATCGCCCAATCCAATTTGGCCATGCTATACCCCAATGCGCGCGCACCCGCGACCCTACCGTCACGGTACACAAACATCTGTCGGGGGCCAAGTCCGTACGCCGCATGCTTACCCAAGAACCGCGCTACCGTATCTGCCGACGCCTTTAGCGCAAACGAAGAGACGGCCGCCTCCTTGACTGAGCCGTCACCGCCATAGACAACAGCCACTCTCTTTTTGGACAGGGGCGTCAAAGCGGAAATGCTGGTAAACTTTGTTTCCTGGACGATGCGATCGTTGAGATGATCTTCCGCGGGTGTGGTGTACATTTCCACGTTGAGACCCTTGAGGACGTTTTTCTCGAGGTAGGACATGTATGTCTCACCGGTTTTGTTGGCAATTAGGTAGCCGAGGATCAAGGTTCCGTAGTTTGAGTACACGCTTCTCGTGCCGGGTTCGAAGTCGAGCGGTTTGGCAAGGACGTATTCGATGAGCTGACGTAGTGTGGTGGGAGTAGACTGGTTGAGCGATTGCGCGATGTCCGTGAAGATGAAGCCAATGTCAGGTGTTTTTCCACGGTCGAATCCACCCGTATGATCCAGCAGGTGTTGAATGGTGATGTTTAGCGAGCGAGGGTCTGCGGGATTAGTGTAGCCAAGGAGCGGGTAGATGTGGTCTGTAAGGTTAATCATGCCAGTGGAGACGAGGTTGTCTACTGCCGCGTATGTGAATGCTTTGGAAACACTCCCGATAAGGAATTTGTCGGACGGTTCGACGATGGCGCGGTCGCTCTCGGCCCATGTGTAGGCGCGCGAAGCGATGACAGTCCCGTTGATTGAGGCGGAGACCTGGGCTTGTCGGACACTGTTACGCTTCATAAACTTTTGAAGTATTTCATCCAAATCTCTCTTTACTCCAGCATTGTCTGGAAAGCCAGTAATATCGCCCACAGCGTGCCAATTGCGTTCCAGAGGGGTTACTCGCTCCGCAAAAATGACAACGTATTGTGACTCCAGAGACCCTGCACCAGATATATGGATAGGATACATGTTGTTCACCTCTTGTGCGGCAATCTCTGATCGCAACTGCGATGCGGTAAGGTCGGTACGGACGGTCCATTTTCCAACACTCGTATCGTCAAAAATAGGTGTAAGGAGCTTGTCTTCCGAGCTGTCGATGAAGACTGGTCTCCAGAATCTTTTCGTAGTCTCATCGGCTTCTATCGACTTGTAATTCTGCAAAACGCTTGTCGGGTACCACACAGTTTGTTGATGGTTGTTTGTGTTCTCGTGTCCGAGGATACAGTATTGGCGCTCGGTTGGAGTGCCATACAAGCTCACGCCCTTAACCACCATCGGGGAATCCTCTGTCAGATTCATGTACGCGTAAGGGTTGTTCATGCCACATAGCTGAGTCCAATTGCGAACTGAGGGTATTTTCTCCATCACACCTGCAAACACAGCATTGGAGGCGGGCCCGGTAGCAGAGACTTGCGTCGAAACGTAGCCACTGGCTTTCCACTGATCGAGCCAAGCATCATAGGTAGTTTTATTGGCACCTAGAATAGTCTCGTATGGGTTGCCATCTTGTTTTGTCCAGATGCCGGCGTATTTTGCATCGGTAGGTGTGCCATGAATACTGAGGGAAGTTGGTCGGTAACCCTCTGCTTTCAGTCTTGCGATTCTGGTTTCTACCTCTTTGCCATTGATGTCAAAGAACACGTTCTGTTCAACCGTTGCATTGCGCCTCGAGCTAGGTAAATGCTGATTAATGGTGGGAGATGATACAACGAATGTTGCTAGCGAAAGGCAAGTTGCTAAAGCCGAAAGTAACGAGCGTGAAGTATACATTATGAAGGCCGATACTACCTCGACTAAAGCAGTACCATCGTCTTTAATACGGCATTCAGGGATGGAGTAATGGTACCCCACCGCATTATTTGCTCGTCGCAAATCCCCATGTACGGATTAATATCGAGCTTACGATGCAAATGCAAGCTGCAAGGTTCTTAAGTCCGTTCTATCCCGGCAGGGCCACTTACTAGCGTGCTGCTTAGCCAATTGACTAGCCAGAATATTCGTATGCAAAATTGGAATAGGTCAAAGCTCTTCCTGAAATACCTCTTTAGTGCTAAGAAAAGACTAGTGACGGACAAAACGGATGTACGCATACGAAAGGCATTGCCACACCGAACCTTTACGACACATAAAAATGTGTGTATCGAATTCTAAAAACGTGACATAGCCCGACATCTGACCGGAAAAATTGCGACTCTAGTTAAAGCACATCGAGGAGAGAGGGTCAAGCTATCAACAGCACTGATCTGATTGACGATATCTACGGACGCTTTCGGGTCCGGCACAACTAGTGTGACGATCAGCATTAGAGACATTCAGGGTTGCAGAAACTACTATACTTCAAGTTGTGAAGAGCATATCTTCGTCAATCCATGAAATTAATTTTGCCTGCTCGTGTCATCCTGTTCTGACACCAGCGCAGGGTTACACAATTGAAATTAGCGAGATTTGAGGGAGCAATCTCTATGACGTATCTAGTACGCCTTCATTCTGTACAATGCTTCGGAGCGAACTCGAATATGATGTTTTCATTTTAACGTCATTACAAGAGCCTCGTTAGTAAAAAATCCTCGTTACTACTTGAGACTAATAGCGAACGTGCTGAAGCTTTTCCAAATGTGCAGCCAGCCAGGCCTGGGCCGTCTTATAGGAGTGTCGCTTTCTGTCAGTTGTGATTGGATTAGGACCTCATCGGTCGAGTTATGTATCAGATATGAAGTAGTGTTACAACAGGAGACGGTTGAAGGATCTACTCACCTCAGTCTAGCTGGCCACCATCTAGTCTTTTATCATCTCGATATCGCATCTTGAATCATCCTTGTGTGACAAGATGGCTCTTTTTGTCGTATTAACCGATAACCTTGTGGCTTTTGTCCATGATTGTTCGCACGGGCTGCTTTGAATATCAATATATGAGGTAAAAGTGATTGAAATACAAGCACTTAGATCTGCTAGATGGGCTGAATGAAGAATAAATTGCTAAAGCTGAGCTGCTGATACAGGCCTGTCATTGCTGAGCAGAAACACATAGTAAGCACGTGATTGAGACTGATGAGCATGCATTGCTACATAGTTAGACTAGCCGAACACACCAATTCTAGCCTCAACCGTCACCAGGGATGATTCTACCAAAGAAAGATAAGAAATTGGGTATCTCAAGGAAGACGAGAAAAGTAGAAGAAAAGAAATCAAGGGAGGGGGTGTTTGAAGGAGGATGCAAATGAGTGAAAGCAAAGGAAAGGCGACCTGTTTCAGTCCTCCCACTCTCCTTCATCGTCCTTCTCTTACTCCAGGGTAAACCAATCATTCCACCACTCCTCATAGCTCTGAAACTGATCCTGGCGGATGGGGTTACACGGCCGCTCAGCGCCAGATCGAGAATAAGACTTTCCGAACACGCCCCAAGCATGGGCTGGCACACCAGGATGCAGTGCAAACCTACGCGTATCATTTGACATCGTATCAAGGAGTACGTACGTCCAATAGCGGCATCCAGTCCCGCCACTCGAGAAGAGATACTGGTGGAGCTTCCAGTCATGTCGAATCGCTCGATACAGAGTTTTGACTTGGACTGGCGCATAGAGCTCGTAGTCGATACACTTGACCTCCGAACTCGAATGACGGTAGTTGACTAGTTTCCACTGGAGCTGGCCTCGCCTGTCTCCATCGTCGGTCCTCATGTTGACTTGGACTGCGCCGCCCCGGTCAAGAAGGAGGAGAGTGGTGACATGGTTGTTACTATGTAGAGAGTTCGGCCAGGCCCCGGTCGTATGGATGGTAACACGTATCTTCGAGAATGTCGAGGTGTTATTGTTGAAATACTCTCGATTCTGCTCCTCCAGTGCAACAATGTGGCTGATGCTAGGCATCCTGTAGATGACTTACCTTGTCCTTCGACTGTACGATGTCGATAGTGGTGGAGCGGATGGTTGAATAGAGCTGGAGAAGGGTACTAGAACAACTGGAAACTATTCAAATTCGATGCCTTATCTACTATACGGAAAGTCATACATAGTTTGAATACAATGCGGGGGAAGAAAAGATATTGTATGTAGTGAAACAGCTGTGTGAATTCACTAGTCCAAGCATACGGGCAAAGAAGACCATCAATACCTTAAACATGACCGATTCACTGTCAAATCGATTAGCTCAGGACTGAAGAGGATGTGGACATGAACTGGCAAGTGTAGATTTTCTTCTCTTTAACAGTTCTGCGAAAATTTGTGGTCTCCCACAGCAATGAACATCACACGTACTGAACGAGTGGAGATAGCATCGAGTCACCGGTCTACTATTATGGGCACGAGTATATTCATCTGCACCTGCAACTTACAATGGGCAGCTGGATGTACGAGGAGCTGCGATTGTAGAGGAATACTAGATAGACCAAAACTCATAGGATTAAATAATGCTTTTGTCATGTAGGAAGTCCCAGTCTTACACTCAAGGGTTACTCGTAACCCTGTGCACCGGTACAATACCTGCCGGACTAGGACTTGAGTACGCGAATAATAGCGAATACTCGACCTCATGTATTTTCGGAGTCATTTTCTTGCTGTGAACATATCACATGGCTGAGTCTTAGCATAGTGAAAGATCTAGGAAACTCAACCTGCTCCAATGACTGCATCGTCTGGTGAGTGAAAGCACCATGAATATGTTTTCCGACTTATTCCAAGCAAGTTCATCGCATCGGCACTTTCATCGATAATAAACAACGCGTCTGCTTGGCCAAGAGGGTGAAAGCTGCACAAGTGCCTAAACGACCTGGCTTGGTTCACACACTATCTTTGACGAAACGGAAACATGATATTGCATTTTCACGTGAACGATGGATGAAGGTGGGGCATGCAACGAGAAGAATGCACACAAAATGTACATGTGATAAACTGGATATACGAACCTAACCCTAACGCCAGCCGAGACCCTTTGCGATTGGACCCAAACATGCTATTACTACAAAGGAGCTACTAGCTCAGAAGACGCTGATGTAGTTGCCAATGCGCTCCTTCTGGTTCTGCGCAATGCACTCGGCTATCCAGGTGATGTTCCGGATCTCCTACAAAACATGTTAGCAACTACACCCACTTGGTTGTCACAACCTGCAACGTACCTGTTCTCGAAGCTTCACCCATGCGTACACAATAGCGTGAGTGAACTGGTGGGTGAAGGCTAGTTTTGAAATTTCCATCTCCTTTTGGTAGAACAGGTCTTCCAGGCTTCTTGTTTCGCCACCAACACCACCTGCCATGTTGCCAACACCACCGCCGTTCTGGCTGAGGCCAGTCTGGTCGAAGAACATCTTGTAGTCGGAAACACTCTCAACGGCGATGCGAACACCCTCCACGTCATCGGCTCTTGATAGCATCAATGTTCCTTCGGGGTAGAGCTTGCCGAGCTCAGGGTAGAGCTTCTTCCTTTCGTTCTTGGAGAGCTCGGTACCGAAGGAGTTGAGGGAAATGTTGATACTTCTGCGGTCGGCCTCAAACTCCAGAACCTCGGACATGACATCGGAGGTTGGGGTACCAGCAATGTCGGGACAAGAGTTGATCCACTGGTGAAAGTCCTCGAGGTAGTTCTTGTACAGAGTGTTGCGGATAATCTCAATGTTCAGTTCGTCCAAGTCCTGGTGGCTGAGCGAGCCCTTGAAGTAGGGTGCAAGCGGGGTTTCGATGAGGACCGAGTTGTACAGCTCTTCGATGTTGGTGGCCACGCACAGCACGGGCATGGTTTCGAACCAGCCAAGCGGGTGGCACCTCTCGAGCAGCTCCCGCGTATCCCTCTCGTGCAGCGTGCCCGTAATCAGAAGCGCGACGTTATCAATCATGTACCCGTAGGTCAGATACTCCATGAACTTGGCCAGCGAGCCGGTCGCGTTGGCTTGGAGATAGCGGAACTCGGCTACCAGCTTGTCCGTGGTCTTCGCGGCGAGAGCAGAAGTCGAAGGATTTGGGGGCAACGAGTTGAGAAAGTCGCCGTATGCGGGCGCAAGCTGGAGTTTGACATCTGGAGCATGGTCAGTCCGTGTGCAGATGCAGGCGCGATCAGATCTGATATACCATCGATGGTCTCGCACTGGGTCAAGTTGCTGTAGTTCTGGCTGGTGAGCAGCGCATTGCGGTAGCCGCGCACGATGCCCTCGATGTAGCTAGAGACATGTGTTAGAAGCGGCATCATTTTGTAGATGCGCGAAGTGCGTACCCGTATTTGACGTTGTAGTAGAGACCCTCCATGTTGTGCTGATGCTTTGCTGCTGGCGACATTCACTCATTCGCTCAGGAAGAGCTCCAGCTAGGGCGTCATGCCAAGCCTTGGCCCGTGTCGCGCCTGCCTCGACGACCGCCTGGGGCGTTTGCGCGCTAGCCTTAATCGCCGAAGTGGCAGTGACAACTTTCTTAAGTCCATCGTCACTTCCTCGCTCGCATCACTCACCCCCAACACACTCAACGTGACCCATCCCGCACCGCCCACAGCAGTTGCGTCGCTCATCTTAACATCTTCCAAAACCAGCAATTGTATAGCAACTGCCCAGTAAGTGCCTCCCCGCGCCTGCGCAACGCGCCTACTGACCTCGGCCTTAGACATGTCAGCTACCGCTACCCGGCGCTCAACGCGTCGCACGGCGGCAGCAGCAGCCTCGACTGAGGCCGCGCTGTCAGCCTCGGAACAAAGCTCTCAGCAGGGAACTCCTCCACCAGAGGTTCCTAAGAAAAAGGCCCGAAAGACCAAGGCTACCACCACCAAGGCTGAGCCGCAGGTCGTGATCGAGTCGCAGCAGACCGTCACCAAGACTCGCGCTTCGTCACGCGCAAATGCTACATCCACATCGGCCGCAACCACCGCCGCGACCCAGACCTCGACCGTCACTGCACAAGCGCCTCCCACCGGGAGGAAGCTCACCAGGGCCGCCCGTGCCGCCCACGTAAAGGCTGGTGGGCAAGCCTCACCACAGCGCAGCCTGGAGCAAGTCAAACCCGCGAAGCGTGCGCGCAGCACCGCCCCGACCAAGGAGACCAGCGCGAAACGACAGGCGACATCCGCAAAGTCGACGCGAAAGAGCATCATCAACGACCAGGAGAACGAGGACGACTTGGGCCCGTTCTTCACGGCCGGTAAGGATCATTTTTTCTCAGTTTCAGAACAACAAGCCGAAGTCACCAGCGAGTCACTCGAGGAAGAGAACGCCAAGCAGCGCAAGGAGATTGGTGAGCTCCGCGCCCGCATCACAGATCTGGAGGCCCTGAACCAAGATCTGGCGTATAAGCTTTATGAACGAGACCAGCAAATGCTTGCACTTGAGAGCAAGAACCTGCGTCTGCAAAATGAAAACTTCCGTCTGGAAAATGAGAACTTCCGTCTGACTCAACTCCCCAACAATAGCTATCGTTCACCAGCTAACCAAAGCGATGCAGAATTCGACAGTGATATCTTTGATACCTCTGATCCCATCCCACAGCCGGTCTTCACCAATGGTAGTGAGTCCGCACTCGCACTTCTCCAGAAGATTGAGGAGTCTGCCAAGGAGACGATGCGCGGCGAGCCGGCGTCGAGTAACAATAACGCACACACTAACAACAGTGTTGCCGCTGTGCCTTCACAGCCCCAGTCCGTCAAGAGGACATTCAATGAAGCCACAGCTACTCCGGATCGTTCGGTTGAAAAGTCAAACATTTTCAGCCGGTCCTTCTCCGCCATAAAGTCAAGACTATTCTCATCAACGCCTAAACCCCCGCCAACCCCGGAAGTCGCCTCGCCTACTCCAACAAAGTCTTTCCCACCTCAGAATTCACTGACAGAGACGCTTTCACTCCCACCAACGCCTGTTGGTGAGCGCGTCCAGACCCCAAGTAAGAAGCGTGCGCCGGGCAACACCATGTTGAAGGTACTGCTCAAGGGTGTTGAACAAGAAGACAAGCGCAAGGCGGAAGATTGGGCTAGAAAGGTCATTCCTGAGCTAAGGAACGACAATGACTTCCGTGAGAAGCGTCGGCGACTTGAGACGCCCGTCTTGTGCAAGGATCTCGTCCACTTCCCTGCAGCCAAGCCTTGGGAGACTGGTTTTGGTGATCCCCTCGGCGATCTGGACGACGACGATGTCGTTCCGGTTTGGGCTGTCTATCTTGAGATGAAGACTGAGGAAGAGGAGCACGCTGCAAAGAGACAAAAGAAGGCTACCGTCAGCTCCACAGAAGACGATATCCCCACCATTGACGAGCAGTTTGCTGCCAGCAGTAGCATGCGTACATCACAGAAGCTCTACGACAGCCATGGCCAGTCTACGTCTTTGTACGACTTGCATCCTCGTCGGTCGATCGATCCTTCTCCGATGTTCTCAAACTCTCTTTCACACAGCGAAGGTGGTAACATCTTCAGTGAACTTCAAGGACATGAGAACGCTGCCAGGATTCGTGAGAATGACCGTGAGATTCTCAAGAATGCAACCAAAGAGACGGTCAATACTCAGACGCAAAGCTCTGTTGGACTGTCGTTCAGCGTGCCCGACGACTCTGATGACGAAGACTCCACTGCGGATGCTGAGTCTTCGGAAACCGAGACTCCTGTAGGTGAAGCCAATCCAATTTGGACCCAGCCGCCGCCCCCAGCGCCTGTTCCTGCGCATGCGCCGCTGCCAGGAGGATCTCCAACCGAGCCGCCTCTCAGCCCTCCAAGCCAACAACCTATAGACGAAGTCGCGCGACAACGCCAGCGTCTCATGAAGCACACGCCAGCCAAGCCTTCTCGCCTTCGTGAGGCAACATACCCTTCGCCGAGTGTTTTCTCGGATGCTGGTAACGAGTCTCTTCTTGCTGCTACCCCTGCTCCGGTTGCTGCCTCTGCGGTCTCCATGTTCGACGACATGCCCGCAGCGCAGACCATTGAGCTTGACGCTGAAGAGAAGGCTGCCCTTGAGGAGCTCATCGGCTCGGATGAATACAAGAAACAGCTTGCCGCCAACTGGCCTGCCGCCACCCTTACATACGAGTCGGACGAGGAGGAGCTCAGCCCCATCTCCACCTAAATCCGTATCTTGCGTTTTGTTCCATCGTTCGCCCTTCCCACCCCATCCCGAAATTGACCGAAGAGGCATTGGACCGGATTCTCTGCCTCAAAAAAGCATGTTTGTATATACTGCATAGTTTGCGTTGTTTTGCATAGCCCGGGTCTGATTCGTTTTCGCTTGCTCTTCTTATGTATTATATATCACGGGACCCCGGCTTGTTTCCTGTTTTTTTTCACTCGGGGCGTTTGTTACTAGGGGAACACATAAAAAGATGGATGATTCATGACTTGCAGTATACCCCCTCTTGTTTTTTTTACTTTTCCCCGTCATCATCACCATCACCACTATCATCATCGCCCAGTACACGACGGACTACTACTTGTATGGGCTTTTTTTGTCGGGATCAGAGGGGCTTATGATGTAGTCTTGTTTTTTTAACACGTTTTGCATTGTTTGGGGGGATTTTTGCTTGTTCGTTGTAACCTGCTCTTCTTGTTATCTCTTGCGCTTGCTCTTCTTGACCTTTTTCGCGTGCTCTTTTCGGCGCCCTCCCAGCAATTGCATCGTGTTTTTTTGTTCTTGTTTTCATACTTTCGGGGTGGGGGGGTTGTTTTATTTGCACACTTTTCTTCCCCCACTTGCCCTAATTACATACTCGGTACGGATCGGAATAAATACTTCACATCAACATTTTGTATGCTTTGTATGCGTGACAGTGACTCGAAAGCAAGAAACAATTGGTTCGTCTACGTACACTACTCCACACGAACGATTACCCAGCCTGATACACCGGATTCTCCGTCTTGTAATATATCGCCTTGACAGGCTGACTCAATGCCCGCTGGTTCACTTTCTTTTGCGCAACAACCTGTTGCCGTCGCATCTTCTTGTCTAGACTCGCTAGACTAACAAGTTGCGCGGTCGATAACCCGGATAAACTGAGCTCGGTGTTGCGCCCTGTTATCGGCGGTGCAGGTGTAGGCGGGAGAAGCGGACCTGAGCCTAGCTCAGAGGAGGAGGGAGACGAAACCACCAGCGATGATACTTGTTCCGCACTCGATACAGCAGCGTCTAGTTCTTCCCGCTGTTTCAAAGATCGACGACGCGCCACACGCCTCCCGCCATTCTTGTTCCTTGCGTTCTCTCTGTCGTTCAATCTTCTTGATGTCTGTGCATCTTCTTCTCCTTCTTCTTCTTCTTCTTCTTCTTCTTCTTCTCCCTCTCCTTCAGAGGAGGCAGACGACGCGAAAAATTCACCCCACAGACCCCCTTCAACCTTACAATGCCCCCTATCCCGCATATGACTCTGCACACTCTTCACACTCCTCTTTTCACGCGCACAGTATATGCATTCGTGGTGTGCATATACGAGAGAAGAGAGGTAGGAGAGGAGGGGTTCGATTGCCGCAGAGGTACTGGTGGAGGGCGAGGTAGAGGGGAGGAAGAAGGAGTGGGTGATGGACATGTGGGAGAGGTTTTCTGAGAGGGTTGGGGAGGTGTGAGGGCAGAAGAGGCAGGTCGAGAGGTCTGGTTTTAGTGGGGGATTTTGGGGATCGGGAGAGGAGGTGGATGATTCTGGTCTTGAATCTCGATGACTTGGTTCGGGGCTGGCGTTGGTGTGTTGGGTCTTTTTTCTTTTTCCAGTGCCATTGTTCTCCTTTTCAAAGTCTGCGAATTCGGATTCGGAAAGGGCTGGCTGGCCTGATATTTTTCGTTGCAGGTTATAGATACTAGAAATACGTATTAGTTCTGAAATCTCCTGATTTTGCAATGATGTTGCGTGAATGAGGAAAACCGAGTTCGACACTTGGAGAAGAAAATAAGGTATACTTACTGCCACGCCCCCCTCATATGACTTCGCTGCAATCCACTACTCTCAAAAGAAAGTGAATAAGTATTACACGGAAACGACGTCCGCGATCCATTTGATTCAGCTCCTCCAGCGGCTCCAGTGGCTCCAGTGTCATGCACCATTTTTGTCTGTTGTTCGAGGGTAAGTAAACTTAAAGTAAACTAAAAAAAGTCTTCGATGTTAAGTCGTGAATATAAGACCCTGAGGCTGAAAGTGAGTTGAAGTGATGATACACATCCTGGTAAGGCACCAAAGCCATTATATACTCGAAATACCATATTATCAAAAGTATGGTAATGGAGGTAGTGTAGTGTCACGTGACGGAGCTTGTGAGGCCCAGCCGTCTGCAAGCCACAAAATGAGTCATTTTGAGTTCATGTGTATTCACCCACGCACATGGCGCCAAGCGAGCATCACACTGGATGCAGCATGAGTCTTGGAATCTGGATCTATCAGGTGGATGCTTATAGATCGAGATCCAGACTGGGAGAGGGAATAGAGTGCACGGAGAGCCAATCGCACTATGTTATTTTAGGAAAAGTAGCTCTCTTCAAACGTCTCCACAGGAGCAACGACAGAAGCCTCGGTAGTCGATTCCCCAAGTCAAACGCGTCAACCCAGCTCTTTCAGCCACCCCAATCAAAACAGAAAGACATTTTCAGTATTCATTTCATTCTAGATATTGAGAGCAAACGCCATACAAGACGGGCATAATATGATTTAAAACGCCTACCAAACAGAACCAACCCCCGCTCTTGATTGAAGCTACCTCTCCTAACATTCCCCGAAACGCCTTTAGCACTAACTGCTGTGATCCGTAGATTTACTCCATATTGATATCATGTCTGTAAACCTTTGCTGTGTGTAGCGGTTTTGTCACAAACTCCATGAAAAAAGTGAGAGGGTGGCCAATAGACACCCTCTACAAGAAAAAGGTATCCGGAAGGGTGGAGAGAAGTGCGAAAGACACGACCGCACCAGTGGCGCCAAGAAGAGGGTAGGCAGCCTTGTTAAGAACCTTACCAAGCACAGAACGAGGTATTTTCTTTGGACGCTGAGCAATTTGAGCAGCTGTCTGAGCGGTCCCGACCTCAACAACTGGATCTGTATCCATTGGGTTGCCTTCACTCTCATCAGAAGCAACTGAGACCATCTTCGGAACATCCCCTTGGGACACGGCTGGGTCCTCCTCAAGTACATCAGCCTTGCGCTTCATGTAATTGACTGATTCTGGCGTGGGCGGATGTTCTTCGACAACCTCTTCGACAATCTCTTCAATAGAAACCTTTGTGCGGCGGCCGGGCTGCAATGGTGTAAGGACCTCAGCTTCTGAAACTGGGGCTGGTGGAGGTGTTTGGAGTCGGTGAGCTTGGGATGGCTCGCTGGGTTGAGGATAGAAAGATGTAGACGATCGAGGATCAACGGGTTCTTGTGCAAGAGGCTGTGCAGGGTTGTACAAAAGAGACGGGTGTTCATAGGTCATGGGCACATAATCGGCCGGCTGGTACCAATCTTGAACTTCGTTCTGGCAATGAGGGGGATATGCCCAGGTGCCCCAAGATGCAGGTTTAGATGCGGAACGAGGTGGCAGAGGTGGGGCCGTCTCGCAACATGAAGGCGCGCGGTCGATTTTGGCAGCCTTTGCCATGCCAGCCTTGGAGGACTCGCCGCATGTATTTTCATGATTGCCAGAGCGTTGAAGGCCGAACATGTCAACACAAGGAAGTCGCAGTGGGGCGTCTGCACCTTCAAAAGTGTAAATGCGTCGAAGGGGGGGATCAGTTGGCTGAGCGTTGGCCGACTGTCCCGAGGCGGGTAACGTGTCCCTGTTTGAGTACTGGACTCCTTGGGGGGCTGAGGCTGCGACAGTCTCAGAGTATTCGGCCTCATTCATCTCGCCTTCAGACTCAGAATCAATCTCAGAGCTGTTAATGCTTTCAGACTTGCTGTCGAGGTCACTCTCAATAAGTCGGCCGTTGTCTTCTACACTAGCAGGACTGGGAGTGCGAGGTGAGACTGACTCATCGTCATTTGACGCGTAACCAGCTTCATGTAGGTCTTCCCCTTCCACGTCCTCGTCATAGACATCCTCGACAATCGTTGTACGCAATATGGACTCGGTGTACACATCCGGACCAAAGCGGCTTGTCTTGGCTGGCTGCCCCTGGAGCAGCATGTCTTCCATGACTATAGTAGCGTTTGCCTTGTCTGCAGCCTCTTCGGAGTCCTCTTCAATGACAAATGGATCGGCGTGGCTGCCACAGCGGTGGACTTGTTCCACTTCTACCTCCTCATCCTCGCTCTCGGCGTCGGGAACCGTGAAACCAAGGGAGAAAGGGCGGATGAGTTGGGACTCGAAGACGTATCTGCGTGCTGGAAAGAATTCTGCATAACATGTCAGCCTCAGGTGAGGGGGCAAGGCTGGGTGGGGGGCATTGCAGACGTACCCTCGTTACGATTAACGTCGGTGCCAAACTGGAGTTCGTCGCCGTACGAGAGTTTAGAAGGTGCATTTGGTGTTAGCTTATGGCCGTTGACCATGGTGCCGTGCATGGAGCCTTGGTCGCTAATGTAGACTTCAGGTACGCCGGTGGTGGAGTTGGCGGAGAGGACGGCGTGTTGGCGAGAGATGACTGGGCTATCGATATATGCATTGTGCGGTGCAGCCATCAACTCTTTCTTGGTAACACTGCTCGAGGCACGGCCGATAGCAAAGGTTGAGTTCAACGGCAGGTCGAATTGGCGGGTCTCGTACGTGTCGTACCGCTTCACGTCCCGGAGGACGACACGGAAGACTGGAGGGTCGGTGAGTCGGGATGCGTGCATGACGGGCGATGCAATGGAATGCTCACTGGATGTCATAGGGGTGACTGTATGTCGTAGAGAACGACCGGGCAGTTGGAAGAATAGGAAGCAGTTGCAAGGGAGAATGGAGTGAGAGTGGTCAGGCAGAGTAGGCGGGGGCGCAGTTTGGCGGGGAGGGGGCGCTTGGTAGTACCAGAGATCAAGAGAGGGTTGCGACAACAATGTGTATTGATTAGGTTTCTGGGAGAGAGTGTATGTTAAGAGGCTGTATACATGTAATATGGGCAGCCAGCAAGTCGTCAGTCGAGGCCGCCCTTAGGACACGACAAGGCGGGGCAAGGCAGTGAATAGACAAGGCAACGATGGGGGTGGTGATGAGGGACTAGGTCACTAGGTCACTAGGGGCCTTGTGGGGTGTTATCGGCTTATCAGCCCGCATTAGCTCTGCACGCCCGTGTTAGCGTGAATTTGCGTACCCCACCCAAAATCTTCAGAGGCGCGCAACTGAGAAAGTGCAGCCAACGCCCCGAGTCCTCTTGTCGCCCGGAACATGACTCACCCCGCCACGACTATGCAACAAGACTGCCACGGCCTGCGATAGCACGACATATACCCATTGTAACTTGACTACCAACACCAGCCGCCATCATGGAGGCGCCGCGCACAACGGCCAAGCAGCAGGTCGTCGACCGCATCCCCGCGCGCATAAAGCACATCCAGTTTGGCATATAGTAGGCACCTCAGCCGTGGCAAATATGCCGCAACAAAGCACCAAAAGAACTCCTAGTAACATTCTCCAGCTCCAACCAGGACATTGTCAACCAGGCCGTCCTCGAAGTATCCGACCGCAATGTCTACGATCTCCAGCCCGCCGCCGACAATACGCGCACCCTCACGGCCAACGGGCCCATGGACACGCGCATGGGTATATCCAGCAAGCAGGGAACCTGCGCAACATGTGGTGAGGGACTCGACACCTGCAACGGCCACTTTGGCCACATCAAGCTGGCACTGCCCGCATTCCACGTTGGCTACCTGAAGCACATCATTGAGGTCCTCAACTGTATATGCAAAGACTGCTCCCGCGTCTTGCTTGACGAGGTTGAGCGCCGAAGATATCTGCGTAGCATGCGCCGCCCTGACATGGACACCCTACGAAAAGGCGCAGTGACTAAGAGAATTTTGGACGACTGTCGCAAAAAGAAGACCTGCCCTTACTGCAACGGTCTCCAGGGCACCGTACGCAAAGTGCCTGGCCATCCGCTTAAAATTATCCACAACCGATACGATGCTTTCAATCGATCCACAGCCAAGACCAAGAAGGCGCCCCCGGGAAAGATTGAGTTCGACCAGTCGTTCGAAACCGCAAAGTCTGCAAATCCAGATCTGGACAAGCACTTGAAAAAGGCCGTCGACGATATGCACCCGCTGCGCGTATTGAACCTCTTTAAAAAAATCTCTCCCGAAGACTGCGAGCTGCTAGCCATGATACCCGAAGACGCGCGACCAGAAATGCTGATCTGGGAATACATGCCAGTGCCACCCGTGGCGTTGCGACCATCAGTCATGCAGGAAGGAGGTGCGACGGAGGACGACGTGACCAACAAGATCGGAGATATTTGCCACATCAGCAGTATAATACGCGCCGGACTTGCACGAGGCTTTCCGCTCCAGATTCTAATGGAACAGTGGGATTTCCTGCAGCTGCAGATTGCCATGTACATCAACAGCGATGCGCCAGGTCTCAAGCAACAGGGTCTGCAAAAAACTATGCGTGGATTTTCTCAGCGTCTCAAAGGCAAAGGCGGTCGGTTCCGACAAAATCTTTCTGGAAAACGTGTCGATTTCTCTGGTCGTACAGTCATTGGTCCAGATCCAAACCTGAGCATTGATGAAGTTGCGGTACCAGAGCGTATAGCTAAGAACCTGACGTATCCTGAAAAGGTTACACGCTACAATATTGACAAGTTGAGGAGGCTTGTCAGGAACGGCTCTAACAAATACCCCGGAGCCAACTACATTCTCGATGACCAGGGTCCGAACAAAGACCGAGGCAAGATTTCCCTTATTGCACTTTCGCGGTTCGATACCAAGGGTGAACGCCTCGAGGGCGCCTCGAAACGACTCAAAATAGGCGACATTGTTGAACGCCACATCGAGGACGGCGACATCGTCCTCTTCAATCGACAACCGTCTCTGCACAAGCTCAGTATCCTGAGTCATCGAGCAAAGGTGCGACCATGGAGAACGTTTCGACTGAACGAATGTGTGTGCAATCCTTACAATGCCGATTTTGACGGTGACGAGATGAACTTGCACGTTCCTCAAACCGAAGAAGCCCGAACAGAGGCTACCGAGCTCATGGGTGTCAAATACAATCTGGCTACCCCGAAAAACGGAACACCAATCATTGCTGCTATTCAAGATTTCATTACAGCTGCGTACCTTCTAAGTAACAAGAACAACTTTTTCGACCGGCGCACCTTTTGTCAGATTGTAAACTACATGTTCAATGGCGAAGGAGCATTCGACCCGGACACTGGCAAGAGGCACCCAATTGAAATTCCACCCCCGGTCGTATGGAAGCCTCAAGCGCTCTGGACCGGAAAGCAGGTCTTCAATCTACTGATGCGCCCGTACAAAAAGTGCAGAGTCCTGGTCAACCTCGAAGCTGCTTGCAAGCAATTCAAAAACACCCCTGATCAGCCTCCTGACCTGAACGAGAACGATGCCTACCTTGTCATTCGCAACTCTGAGGTTATGTGTGGCGTTATGGACAAGGCAACTGTCGGTGACGGTAAGAAGGACTCCGTATTTTACGTCATGATGCGAGATTTTGGCCCCGACCATGCTGTCCAAGGAATGAATCGGCTTTCCAAACTCTCTGCGCGATGGCTCAGCAACAATGGTTTCTCACTCGGAATCAGCGATGTGACTCCAGGAGAGAAGCTTAATAAGAAGAAGCAGGATCTCGTGCAAGAAGCGTACGCCAAGTGCGACAAGCTGATCAAAGACTTTAAAGAAGGAAAGCTGCAGCGCGACCCAGGTTGTGACGAAGAGCAGACGATGGAAAACAGAATTGGTGGCATTCTGTCTGGTGTTCGTCAAGCTGCCGGTGACATTTGTTTTGAAGAGTTGAGCAGGTGGAACTCTCCTCTACTCATGGCCAAATGTGGTTCAAAGGGATCCAACATCAACGTCTCCCAGATGGTTGCCTCTGTCGGACAACAGATGATTGGTGGTGCACGTGTGGCGGATGGCTTCCACCACCGAACATTACCTCACTTCCCCAAGGCTGCACGTCAGCCCGCGTCCAAGGGTTTCGTCAGTAATAGTTTCTTTTCCGGTCTCACCCCATCCGAATTCATTTTCCACGCAATGAGTGGTCGTGAAGGTCTGGTTGATACCGCTGTCAAGACGGCCGAAACCGGTTACATGAGTAGACGATTGATGAAGTCTCTGGAAGATCTTTCCGCGCAGTACGATGACACTGTCAGGAACTCATCTGGTACCGTTGTGCAGTTCCAGTACGGTGACGACAACCTTGACCCCGTGGATATGGAGGGCAAGGCAAAGCCTGTGCATTTTGATCGGACCTTTTCACATGCTGTCACGTCCACCTGGGACAACTCAGAGTCTAGTCTAACGCCTCAGGAAGTTCGAGAATACACCGAAGCGAGACTGAACGCCCAAAGAGACAAGTACCCTAGGTACGCGCTGGACGGTGTAACTCAGCTAGAGTACCGTGACCAGACCGATAGAGGAATTGATCAAAAAGAGTCGATGCGTGACTTTCTCGACACTGTACAGGATTACGTCTTTAAGAAGGCTCAAAAGCTCGAGACGACACTTGCATACCTCGGCATTGTGCAGCCCAACGACAGAAAGGACAAGAAACAGTCGGCAGCCGACGCGGAAAAGTACAGTCTTGCTGATGGTATCGCCAAGATTTCGGAGAGGGCCCTCGATACTTTCATCACCCTGTGTTTGACGAAATATCATCGCTCCCGTGTCCAGCCTGGCCACGCTGTAGGAGCTATCGGAGCTCAGTCTATTGGTGAACCCGGTACGCAAATGACGCTCAAAACTTTCCATTTTGCTGGTGTCGCTGGTATGTCCATCACCCAAGGTGTACCCCGTATCAAGGAAATCATCAACGCCTCCTCCACCATTTCCACTCCTGTCATCGCTTGCGAGCTTTCCAACAAGATATCCGAGTCCGCGGCGCGAATTGTCAAAGCACGTGTCGAAAAGACATACCTCCGCGACGTCATTTCGTACGTCGAAGACGTTTGGCACCCCAATGGTGCTTACATTGCCATGCGCATTGACTGGGATACTATCAACAAGCTGTTCGTTGATGTGCAACCCTACGAGATTGCTGCTGCCATCAACGCCCATAAGCCACTCAAATGGGGCAAAGCCGGCGCAAACGTGCGCATCTCTTCCTCCATAATCCGCGTCGAAGTCCCCGACCCCAACGCCGCAAAGAAGCGACCCGTCAAAACAACACGTAATCACAAAGAATACTTTGAGCGCGTCCAACAGGTCAAATCCCTCATTCCAGACGTTGTCATAAAAGGCTACCCAGACTGCTCCCGCGCCATCATCAAAAAAGAAAGCAGCCCCAACGCCCAAGGCCACTACGAATGCCAACTCCTCGTCGAAGGCTACGGCCTCCAAGACTGCATGACCACCCCTGGAATCGAACCTTACAACACAAAATCCAACCACGTCATGGAAGTCAAAACCGTCCTCGGCATCGAAGCTGCCCGCGCCACCATCGTCCGCGAAATCGGCGACGTGATGGGCAACATGGACATTGACCCTCGACACATGCAGCTCCTCGCCGACGTCATGACTTTCAAAGGCGAAGTCTTCGGCATTACGCGTTTCGGTCTCCAGAAAACGCGTGATTCAGTCTTACAACTTGCCAGTTTCGAAAAGACGCCCGATCACCTTTTCGAAGCTGCGGCGCGCGGAAAGACGGATACGATTGATGGTGTTAGTGAGTGTATTATTATGGGTCAGAGTGTTAAGTTGGGGACGGGCGCGATGCAGGTTGTTCGACCCCTGTTTTTAGGGGGCGAGATTGGGGAGAAGAGGACGATGTTTGAGGTCGGGTGGGAGGCGCTGTGAGGTGGGGTAGGTGGACTGTGATGAGACTTTTAGGGGAAAAAGAGGAGTGAGGGTTATGTATATATGCATGGGATTGGCGTACGCTTTGATTGTTTTTTCGATGACGTGTATTTGATAGGGTAGCATGTATAGCGGAGTAAGAATATGACTTTGCATCTCGCATCGGACTTGGTAGGTGTTTTTTTCTTTCGTTGATGAACGGGGGGGTTTCGTCGCATAATTGCTTTTGTATTGAGAGTTTTGGTGCGTAGTAGGTGACATAGTAAAGTACCAGATGCTCAGTGAGAGATCGACATAGAGAGATAATTATCGTGTTGGTCACAAAGGTAAAGTCTTGTATCTGCGTCGCTCCGACAGCATGAGATCTTCCTCCTAGAAGGTTTGTTTCTCGGCAGATCGAGGGTAGATTAAATGGTGGTATTTGACGAAGATCATTGCGAAGGATATATGGGTTAAGAATCGATCAAAGGAAGGGCAAAGCGAGGGGGGTGGGGATGATGGATTGAGGAGGTAGGTGTGAGGTAGGTATAATAGTGTTCGAAAGAGATGCGAGTTTTAACAGAATAGTCAGAAGCTATAGTCTCCACGTATAGTATCTTTGGTTATACATATTCTCAGAGGTGCTATGTAGTCCACTAGCGTGGGCCCTAGGAAGCGCTAGTGTGAAGCTTGTGTCACGATGGCACGTGGGAGTACACTAGCAACCTTTCCCATGCGTTCTAGGACTGTGTTTTCTTTTTTGGAGGGGGGATGAGGGGATTCGTATGTTGATGCTGCAACCTGCATCTCGAAAGATCTGCATATGGCCATTTTGGCGATGGCAATGAAACTGAGGTTGTTTCATTTTTTGATACGCCAAGGTGGAAACTGCTTGGTATCTATCGGAGTGAGTTGGCAGCAGTTACATGTCTTGGTATGTCTCTTCATCTGGAGCTCTGAAAACTCTGCCAGCGTTTTCTCCATGAAATACTTTGTACTGCTCTTATTTTTTTTTATCTGATGCCAAAGTTTCAGTATGTGCAGAGGTAAAGTCAAGAAGAATATTTTTTTGTTGGAAGAATTTGACACATGACAGAGATGGAATGAGCTAGTGCGGGTTAGCATGTGTGTCGCGGCGATTGTATACTAAGTCTGTTACCTGGAGTATAGTCACTTTGGACGTAGCTGCCACTAATTAGAAACTAGTGAAAATGGAATAAACGGAGAAACTGCAGCCTACAAACTCGCAATATCTACCTCTACTTCATGACCTTGCCTATGTTCAAGCACCTTCCATCCATGCGAAGGGTGGCTCTTTTCCCCATTTAGCTTGCACATGAGACACAAATCGAAGTTTAGGCACACGAGGCATTGAAAGCGGGGACCATATATATCCTGCCTCGTTAGTATAAAGCTGTGTTTGCAGTGCTTGAGGAATACTTACGAGAAAGCATTCATCACAGCTGTATCCGTCACAAATTGTTGCGCTTTTGTTAGAGATCACACCTTCGCCCGGATTCGGTACTTTTGGAAGTGAGTTTTGTGTCAATTCGCCCAGCTTCAGGTTACCATGATAACGACCGATAGAAAATGGATTCCACAGGCCTACAGGGTGTAGAGTCTGAACAATTTCCTCGTTTGAGTACATGGTTTTGAGACGATTCACGACTCCACTGCTCGCGGTTCTGTATGCCCAGTGTAGAGGGGACCAAGAGCCGGACGACTCTTTGGGGGTAGTAAAACCGCGATCGAGGAGGCACTTGACAATCGGGAGAGAGTCCGCACAGGCTGCGTAATGCAAGACCGTGTTTCCTTTGCAATCAATACTGTTGATGTCCATGCCGTTTGCAAGTAGGTAATCAAAAGATCTCAGGTAGCCACCTCTTGCAGCAAAATGAAGAGCGTTACGTCCCAAATGATCAGTCAGGTTGAGACATGTAGCATCTCGCTCAATGAGAAGATGCAGGATACCCAAGTGGCCTACAAAGGCTGCTGTAAAGAAAGGAAAGCCATATGGCCGACTCCTTTGGTTGACGTCGGCTCCATGATCAAGCAGCAGCTCCACAACACCAATGTGCCCTCCCTCACAAGCATTATGAAGAGCGCTTCCACACAGTTCGTCATGCGCGTTACTGTCTACTCCTTTCTTGAGTAGTGACTGCACTACATGCTCAACCCCAGCTGTTGCAGCCGCGATCAAGGCATCTTTGCCTCTTATTCGTGATTCGGTGTCGATGGAAAGTAGCCATGCAACAATATCAGGGCGATTGTTCATCGCTGCAACCTGCAAAACAGCGTGTCCAGCTCTGGTACGGGCATATATGTCTGCCCCATATTTTTGCAAGACTTTTGCAATCTCTAGATCTCTTTTGGCTGCACCGTGTATCGGAGCCCATCCCTTTTCACTGGCGATAGAGGGATCTGCTCCAAGTGACAGGAGCCACTCTACAATCTCGCACTGGCCGTATATTGCAGCATTGTATAGTACAGTTTGACCGCCTTTACTACGGGCATGTATATCTGCGCCAGCCTGGTATAGAAGTTTTGCTGTTGCTAGATCTTTCATAGCTGCCCCATGCAGTGGCGTCCATCCATCCTCGTCAGTGGTAGAGGGATCTGCCCCGAGTGATAGCAGCCACTCCGTAACCTCAAGCGGGCCGTGTGTCGCAGCTGAACGTAAGACACTACACTTGTTTGTACTACAAGCGTGTATATCTGCGCCAGCCCGGTGTAGCGCTTGCGCTGTTGCTAAATCTCTTACAGCCGCGTGCAACGGCGTGAATCCCCCTTCTTCAGCGGCACGGGGATCTGCCCCAAGTGATAGCAGCCACTCCACAATCTCGTGTTGGCCGTTTGTTGTAGCTGTACTTAGGATACTACATTGCCTGTTACTCAGAGTGTGTATATCTGCACCAGCTTGGTGTAGCGCTCGCGCTATCACTAGATTTCCTGCTACGGCTGTCATATGCAGCGACGTCAATCCCTCTTCGTCCGCGGTACAGGGATTTGCCCCAAGCGAGAGTAGCCACTCCACAATCTCGTACTGGCAGCTTGCCACAGCGAGGCTTAAGACGCTATACTGAGCGTTACTGAGAGTGTGTATATCTGCGCCACCTTGGTATAATGCCTTTGTTATTGCCAAGTCTCTTGTAGCTGCAGTGTGTAGCGGTGTGAATCCATCTACATCAGCAGCACAGACATCTGCGCCTTTAGATAATAGGATCTCAATAACCTTGCGCTTGGATTTTTGTACAGCCGCATGCAAAGGTGTGATATTTTCCTTGCACTTGGTATTGATTTCGACGCCGCTGGTGATGAGTAACTCTGCCATATGGTTGTTATCGTCGAGGAGAGTCTCAGCTGATATGTGGAGTGCGTTCTTGTACTGGTTGTCTCGTTCTTGAACTTTTACACCCCTCGCTAGCAGTTGCTTCATGATATTTGTATCTTTCAGTTCTGCCGCTATAAGAAAAGGCGTCCTGCCGAGCTTGTCTTTTTGCTCGCAGTCAATTGACTCGACGTGCAGAAGAAGCTCAACAACTCTCGCACGGTTATTTCGTACCGCCAACGCCAACGGTGTTTGAAGATCATCATTGGTCACATTAACGTCAGTGCCAGACTCTTGAAGAAGTTGCTGGACATGATGGACCATTCCAAGCATTGATGTCAGATGAAGTGCGGTGGTGAGTGCAAACTGTGGTGGAGTGTGTTTTGCTTCCAATGAATACCATGACCATTGCCGCCGGTCTTTTGGTCTATGATAATACCCTTCGTTGTTGAGTTGTCGAGCTTGTGCAGCTGCTCTGAGCTTATCGGAGTTGTGGAGGAACTTTATAACGAGGTTGTTCAAATCTTTGCTTACGCCTTCACCTAAGTGATGATGCCAGTATTCAGCTGCGTAAAGCAGCATTGGGCAATTCTCGTAAAGTGTTTTGGCAGCTGAATAGGTCTCGCAAGGTCCGCTATCGAATTCGTCGTATAGAAGAATCGTGAGACAAGTTCTGGTGATGATGGCTTCCTCTCGTAGTATTTGTCTGGTACTTGAGTGGCTGAAATGGAATAGGAGATACTCTTGAGTTGAGAAATGCATCAGGCGAAAGTCTTTTTCATCATCGACGAATACAAGACCCATGCATGCCGTTGTCATGATACCTTTCTTGGACTCTCTCTTGGGATTTCGACCACAGTCACCGTCCCTCACCGCTACGGCGTGAGCAAGCTCCTCGTAGGACAAAGGACGTAGGGCTCGGGATAGCCACCATAGTATACGATATGAGAGATCAACTTTTTTCGGGTGCTGATCCCTGATTCGTTCCAGGGTTTTCTCATACGAATGGTTGAGATCAACTGGCATTTGCTCCAGCAAATCTTCGATGTCGCTTTCGCATGTGCTGGAAGCAATGCTATTCAGCATCAGGGTTACGGGGAGGAATCTAAGTGTGTCAATAGGCGCATAAACTCTAGTTCGACTGCAGGGTCCTTACATTTCGTTCGCTTTTTCGATAATTTTCGATACAACTGTCTCTTCCAGCAATGGATTGTCCTCGAATAACTCTGCCAAACCCGCTTCATCACGAATCCTTTCAAGCACGAGTTTCTCAACATCATCGCGGTGAGCAGCGACGACCAACTCTGAACATGATGGAAACTTCATCGAAACATCCGACAGATGCGAGCGACCAGTGACGAAGAACCTCCATCTTGGATTGTCAAGACTTTCAAGCTGTTTCAAAAGAACTGCCCTAAGCTTATCCGAGCATTCGTCTAGAGCGTCGAAGACAATGAATATCTGCTTGAAATACTGAGACATATGCCCGAGAGTTTCTACCAGAGTATCAATTTCCGGTCTTTGGGCACCCATGTTACATGCACGATACAGACGACGCACTTCCTCGATACTTTCCTTCTCTTTACATAGCACAACCTGCTTGAGGACACTAGCAAACACATTCTCGAGACTTTGTGCCTCTTTGTCGGCGTAGTCAAAGTAAATATACGCAATTCCAATGTCCCGCTCCATACGGTTAGCAAGCAGCTCATCGATTACCGCTGACCTGCGAGATATCAATACCGTCCTTTCTTGCTGGCCCCAAATATGAGTGCGTACGCTATAAAGGTCTTGCCAGCTCCAGGTTTTCCATGGCACCAGAGCAGTTGTGTTGAACCACTGTCGCTGTACCATCCTTGGTATTCTTGTTTCTTTAAGAGCCATGCACCACTGCCCTTGACCCTTTCTCTTCTGGTCTTCTTGTGCTTGGATTCGTAAGACGATGCGTAGATCCAGTTAATGACATCAATAGATGGGATTTCTCTCGCTATATGAAAAAATCTCATCAGGTGAATCTCCATGCAAGGCTGGCAAAGATTTACCTATTTGAACGACATTGGCATTGATGTTGCCAACCTGGACAATATTTCCATCCTGTGTCTGATTTGCGCCTGAATAGGTAGAGCCGTTCTGCGCAGATACTGTTGCTCCTGAATGGGCTGAATGGAATAGATCTGCTTGTCTGTCTTCGAGTGTGATGGGGCTGGAGATAGTTTGTGCACCCCCTCGCTGAAATGAGTGACTAGAGCGCCGAATAAAGAGGTCCATCTCGATATGCGAACGCAATTCAGGAGCTGTAGTTCAAAGTGCATAGCATCGTTAATCGCTTGCTGGAGCGTCAGCTTTGCGCTCGTTGGAAGCGGCGTGTAGACCTTTGTGCTTGATAGAAGCTTCACCAACATTGTCGCGGGCTCAGCTCGTTCACCGGAAGCTCGGCACAAGGTCAGAACTCACGCAATGCAGCACACCTTAGATGGCTACTGGCACACTGCGACAAGGTGGTAAGGCGGTAAAGTCACGAGGCGATCCTCATTGGGCATGTCCATATGCACTGCAAGCCATGCCTAGGTGCACATCCCGTTAGACTGTCTTATGAGTCCATGGACTTTGTTTTCCTCAGTAACTGGAACATGTTTATAATTTTTGTCTTCCTCGTAGTCGCACGGCCGGTTTGTTGTGCAATAGTGTTGCATTTACTTATTGATCTACGACGATACCCACCTATGCCTTCATCCTGTACTTTCTCGCCTTGTCCTTTTGACATCGCACACTGCATAATCCTACACTCAGGTAAGGTTCGACGCAATTGGTGGGATGCACAACAGGCTGAACTCGGTGGCGCTAAATCCCTGATCGTTGAGCAGGCGCCAATACAATCCTGGCAATGGGGCCAAAATGAAGCAGAGCTACTATATGTCTCTTGATCCAAAAAGTGAACAATCATAAGCTTGCCTTGTGTAGGCAAAGATTTTGACTGACAAAGCCCAATTGTTCCAACTACTTCACCCTCCCAGTATCATTGCCATGAGGCCATATGAACGGGCGAACGGGCGAAAGCGGTTGGATGCATCCGATTACTACATCGCGTGGATCTGTCCGTTACCTGACGTCGAGCTACCGTCCTCAAGATTGATGTTCGACGAAGTCCATCTCACGCCGGAATATAACGCTAATCAAGATCCTAATCAATATTACTGCGGCGTTGCCGCGGGTCACAATGTCGTTATGGCGACCCTGCCTCTTGGATACTCAGGCTATCACCACGCTGGCCGCTTAAGCAGTGCTCTTCTCAATACATTCTCCAGTGTCAAAATAGTCCTCATAGTTGGGATTGGTGGTGGTGTCCCATTACCGAAGCCATGCGAGAATCCTCTGGAAGATGTTCATCTTGGGGACGTCGTTGTAGGATGGTCTCAAGATGGAAAAGCTGCTTGTATCCACTATGGGTGGAATAGGGACAAAGGCGACACTGGCATTGAGATCCTCGGAACAATGGAGAAAGGAGACTGGGTTATAGGACAAGGTCTCGCGAAACTGGTATCAGACCATGACTCTGGCGAGACAAACTTCCAGGATCACTTGAAGCTACTGCAAAACGACCCAAAGTTCGCTCATCCAGGACTTGAACACGATAGGTTATTTCACGCGGCCTACAAGCACCGGGGCGATCAGGATTCTGGCTGCCAGACTTGTATTCGCAATCCATTCGCATTAGTCCAAAGGCCCCCACGTACCAGCAAGCATATGGAAAGATTCATCTTTCATCAAGGGAAAATAGCGAGTGGTAACTCTGTCATGAAAGATGGAGAGCGCAGGGACAAGATTAGCAATGTCTGTGGGGGCGTGCTTTGTGTCGAGATGGAAGCAGTGGGCGTTGATGTTAGCAGCAAATATCTCGTGATACGGGGAATCTCTGATTATTCAGATTCACACAAGAACGATCTTTGGAAGCTTTATGCTGCCGGAAATGCAGCAGTATTCGCAAAAGAGTTGTTGTCCAAGATCAAGCCGATAGCCCTGCAGCGTAAGACGGCAAACCACCAAAGTCAGTATCCTGATTCCCAGGTGTCTATTGTCTAATCAAAAACGACAGCTCAAAGTCCAGTTCTGCAAACTGCATGGGAGCATCAACAAAACTTGATATCGCAGGGAGGTTCCGTTTTCTCAGGTTCTAACCAAACAATAAATGGGAAAATCACCAGCCTTGGCAACCTCAATATGAGGGATGGAAATGTTTCTCTCTGAACACATCATCTCCTTTACCGTCTTCATGTTTTTCTTGTCTTGATATGTAGGTAGTCAAACTTTAGCCATATGGGTTTCGTGAAGACCCGCGCTCGCAAGCATCTGCAGCAATTGCTCAATTGGCAGAGCTGCTGCTACAGTATTGTAACATTCAGTACTCACTACACATAGCCAAGATCGGACAATCGCCTATCCGCATCCCGTATAGGAGAGCAGTTGCCAGTGATGTATCCCACAATGATATAGCCGTCGAGCTCGTGAGCAAAAGAAAAACCGATAAACCTATGGAACTCGTATAGTAGCGGATGGCCTCGTTTTCATCAGCTGTCTCCTATTCGATGGTCATGATTATGCTTTATGGGCTAGGCGAAGAAAGAGTTATAGCGTAAGGCCATTCGCAGTCCGGTACTATTGTCTTTGTAGTCACGTGATCATTAGATTTTTTTGTCGCGCTTTCCCCTCTCAACTGCCCTCACCAAGCTGCTTGGTACTATGCAAACCACCAGAATGCAGTTGTCCACGCATATTGCACGCCACACACAACATGTCGAGCTCTCGCCGACTAGTAACGGGCTATTCGAGAATGGTCTTGCTGAGCCTTAACTACTAGTACACAACACATACAATGTGTCAAAACGCTTGAGGTACGATGCCCAGAGAGCAACATTGTGGACATGTGCTACATGAGTCCCACTACACAGGATGATACGCTTTCTCCACCTGCAAGGCGCCCTCGATGCTCTGAACGAGACCAAAGAAAATTGTCAATCCTAGAATCGTTATTGCTACCCAGAAAGTGGCCCATTGAATCTTGTTCCTGCGATCATGCCAGAGACGCCTGATCGAAGTGGGTCGCGGCTCGTCAAAGATCTCTTTCAGAGTCAACAACTCGCTCCGCCAATACTCAAATTTCTCAGCCTTGCGATCTAATAGCCTTAAAGACGTAGTATTGAGCAGATCTGAATCAAGACGGACAGAGTTCTTTTTGTCAGACACCTTTGCCTGAAGCCACTTTTGCGCATCTCTGTCTTTCGACCTTGAAGGAAACAGAAGCGCGAGGGTCCGAAGGGTTTCCTCCGCTAGTCCTTCAGGGAGTGCCGTACTGTTCTTTCGTTATCATCATTTTACTATTGCCCGAATCGGCACTACTCACCCATCTTGCGATTTGAGGAATGTCGTTTGATGGAAGATACATAGTTTCGTGTCATCTTCCACGAGTCGAAGATGATCAGCAAGATTGTTAGTCCAGACAATCTCGATGCCAGCTAAACGTTCGAGGCTATACGCTGAGAACTTGCTGTCAAATTTGACTTTTCCGGCGTCCTCTTTGCTTTTCTGGAAATGTTGGCTGAAGACAGTCCCAAAGTCACAATTCTCCTTTGTCCACGGTACATACGTAAGACTCGGTATGTAATTTAGCGACACTGGCCCAATATCTACCATATATAGTAACCGGACAACGAGCTTGATGGACCCTTCTGCCATCCTCTCTCTTTCGGCGCTGCTCCTGTTTTGCGTGTCCAACAGAAATAGCTCTTTTTTTATAATGTGTTTGGCGAGTCGTTGTTCAAGATAGCTCGCTATCTTTATAACGTCTTCATACATTCGGACGGTGGTATTCTTACCTCCGTCGCTTACGATTGCGCTTCTAACTTCTTCAGAATAATGTTGGAAGTAGGCTTGCCAACCGTGCAGATCCTCGTCCGACAAGGGCGGTTCTTGCAGGCGAGGCCAAAGTTTTCGAATGAGTTCATGTTTTTGCTCTGAAGTTATCGGAGTTTCAACGGCATTGAAGTTTAGAGCCATGTTGAAGAGTTTGTTAGACTACGGTAGTGTAGTCCTTCAAACACGGTGCGGCTTTATCTAAATCCTGCGGCTCTCCCTCACCGGTCTCTGCAGGGTAAGATTGGATGGAGGCGCAGCCTTGGTGTAACTTATAGACCTTCCCCACCAGCCATATCTACTCATCATTATTGGAAGCTGTTTCCTTGGTGTGCAGGAGACTAAGCTAGTGTGGAGGATTATTGGGTGCTATGAGCCAATCGCCGCTTCCTTCCCATGCCCAGCTGCTTATACAACAAGCCAATTCAGCCTGATGCGCGGTTGTCGCCTTTTGCACCGCCCAACACAGCTGGGCAGCTATTGCACTGCCTTGTATTTTGGTAAAATATCCGTGTACTTCAAATTTGGCTACCGTCCATCGGACTTGACATCCACATACTACCAATGCTCCCCATCTTTACAAAGCCTTCTGAATGATAGTAGCATTACCATTAGAGCTGACAAACCCATGAGGTGCCAACCGCCACCCTTACTCATTCGCTCCGCCACACAATTTCCAATCCGAGACAACCTACACAACCCAGGAAGTATGATCCAGTCAGATCCTCTCAGACAGCTATCGATACAACATATTTCAGAGCCGCTCAAGAAAATATTCGAACGTGAGAAGTCGTTTTTCGAATCTGTCGATACTGACAAAGAGGTTAAGGTGAACCCCGACATCAAAGGGTGGCGCAAGCAACATCGGTGCTGGGAAGGCAAAGGACCAGTTGCACAGCTATACAAGGATTTGCTGCCTAAGCTTATTGATGAGCTAGACCTGACGAGTGGTGGCTCAAATAGGGGTGTCGCAGGCGTGGCCTTGGTCTATTTTATGGTAGGATCGGAGGCAGCACTCGCCAAACCTGTTATTTTCATCGTGAACGGCTGCGAATACTCTCGTAAGAAAGCCAAACGTTCTCTCAGCAAAAGCGGCGTTCTTCGTGGAGGCGTCTTCACACTCGCGATACTAGAGACCTCGCCACGCGGACAAATATGTGTTGTTGCAATGGAAGACCTGAACACTACCCATTCCCTCAATCTCACAGAGCAAAACGTTTACATGCACTCGCGTAGTGAGCTTTTCTCTGTAGGTATGCCGGTATATGTTCAGAATGGATGCAATACGATTCGTAAGGCAACTGCAAATCTGGTCTTCAATGGGCACCGTTACGGCTTTATCACAGCAGCTCATGCGCTGCCAGTGATTTCTGAACAAGAAACCTCCATGACTGACAGCGTTGGAATTGGAGATGAAAATGAAACTGATGATGAAGAAGAAGACGAACATGAGATGCTTGGGCTGCCACTTCACTTTGACAGCTATGATGCGGAAAGACAGCGCGACATTAATCTCGGCGAAGTTTTACCTAGTTACAATTCTTTTCCAAGCGCAGGATCTGACGGATCAGAGAATTCATCACAAACGTCGACTGACACCTTCGAGCATCCTGGAAATGACGGTTTACATGAGGGTAGCGGCCCAATAAACTCGATAAGCCACAACTTTGACCAAATTGGGCCGCACCAACCATTGGACATGCAATCGGAACTCATGTCCCTCGATACAAGCTATCGCCTTCTCGGCGTGGTCGAGGAGATCTTGGGCAGCCTAGACTGCATAATCATCTCGATGGCTATCGAACGGACCCATCCCATCACTAGCATATATGACACCGAACTTGAACAACCACACGAAGTCCAACTAGACACGCCCAAGGCATCGACGACTGTGATCGCTTTGACACCTCATGGGGCTGTACGTGGGTCGCTATCTGATGTACCGTCGCTCATGATGCTGCCAGGTACACGCTCGTACCAAGCTGTGTACACAATCATCTGTGAAGGAGAGATTCAGATGGGCGACTGTGGGTCAATGGTGGTACAAGAGTTTACGGGAAAGCTCTATGGATTCATTTTCGGGTATACAGAGGTTGGTCATGTCGCCTATATGACAACCGCAGAACCAATCATCTCAGGAATCCAGAAATGCGGTGGATGGAAGTTATGCGGTGTAAGACCCGTAAAATGTAGGTTGGTTCACTCCTTTGATCGCCTTGCTCCAGCAATAGATCGGCTGACTGACAACGTATCATTAGTGAAAGAAGAATACGGAACTACCTTCAGCCTCGAGGGTGTGCCAAGAGCGCGTCAGTTCGTGGACAGACCAGCGGAGATGGCAGAGCTTGAACGTGTGTTGCTACCGCGACCAAGAAATGACCAGTCCATGCGCCAAAATGTATACGTACTGTATGGTGTTGGCGGGATAGGCAAGACACAATTAGCGGTGGAGTTTACATGGCGACACCACCGCCGGTTTAGCTCAGTGTTCTGGCTGGACGGACGCAGCGAGGATATCCTCAAGCGCAGCATTGCAAGCTGCGTGGGCAGAATTCCTCAAGATCAAATCCCTGAGACAATCAAGAGGTATGCAACAGACAGCAACGTTGATATCGATGCAGTAGTGAAGGAGGTTATGACCTGGCTTGCTCAGCCTAATAACACCACCTGGCTTCTTATATTTGATAACGTCGACCGAGAGTACACGGCACCAGGAGTTGACCCTCATTCGTACGATGTGAGGCGCTACCTGCCAGGTGCAGACCATGGGTCGGTGCTAGTGACGACTCGACAAGCAGGGCTGGGGCAGCTGGGCGAGTCGCAGCAGCTAGGCAAAGTCTCCGCAGAACAGGGGCAGGCTATATTAGAGAGTTGGTATAAGAGGAAGCATGGTAAGTAAGATTTAAGAAGTGCTTGGAAAAAGATTAGGAGAGCTAACAAGATGACTATACTTAGACACAAACCAGAGCGCGCTGCTAGTAATGTGGCTAGATGGTTTACCACTCGCCATTGCGCAGGCAGGCGCGTACCTGCAAGAGAGCGAAGTAGAACTGGGGGAATATCTATGGCTCTACGACCAAAAATGGGGCGAGGTAAACAATCTAGTTGACGTGCCGCTCCGTAACGGCTCAGAGTGCATCGTATGGACGACATCGGCCATCTCGTACGAGACAATCCACGACAGGCACAAAGCCACAGCTAACCTGCTGCTACTATGGTCTTTCATGGATAACAAAGATTTATGGCATGGCTTACTTGCAGCGGCATGTAACAGGTCTATTGTAGCTGCTGCGATGTTGTCAAGGTGGGTGGGAGACATTGCGAGTAGCGAGGTCGAGTTCAACGTAGCTATGCAACGACTATCCAGCTACTCGCTAGTTGATGAAGTGACAGAGATCACAGGAACGAAAGGCTTCACAACACATCAGTTGGTGCAACAGTGGGCGTATCACTCGCAAAACGAAGTCGCAAAAGAGCTGAGTCAACTAGCAGTAGTTGCTGTTGGTTGGGCTGTGCCGGAAAGTTCTACTGGAGACTACAATACACTGCAACACCGACTTCTTCCACACGCAAAAGTGTGCTTTGGATACATGGTCCATAGCCGGGAAGATTGGTATATAGAACTTCGGAGAGGCAGTCATGGAGACATTGATGCGGATGCAGAGCGTGAGGCAATACTTGTTGCTTTACATCACATACGCCTTTTCTACACCAACCAAGACAATGCGGGCGCGGCAAAGCAGATGTACAAGCCCCAAAACGAACCGCACCATAAGCAACTACTTCACTCCATCCGGAGAGACTCCACGCCTCTGGAAAATCCGTTCTCGAAAAGCAACATGGACGATGACGACTTGATTTGGATTGATACTCTATCGGGCGATGTAGCCTACCGGCCCCCATATGAAGCGTCTGCGACGCGTCATTCGTTCGGCAGCAGCTCCAATGCACCCCGGGCAGGACATGTACAACTTACCAAAGCGAAAAAACCTAGCAGAGTGAAACAACTCAGTATCGAGGAGTGGCCCCCCATAAACTCAGGCAGACACATATCGAGCAACCAGCCATGGCCACGGCGTCACTGAACTTTTCCATACGCAGCTAGTTCAACAAAATAAGTAGTTATGACAGCCCGCCTGGCGGTGCTGAAGGGGGGTGCAGCTTGAGCTCTAGTTCCAGCACCGCTGGCTAGGTTATCACAGCTACTTGTCTTATGTACTTTTTCTAGCTACTCTGGCTGGTCTGGCTCGTTTTGTGAGCTGTTTTTTGACCTGGTCTAGGAGCTTGTTTTTAAGCTTGTTTTTTTTGGCTAGTTTTGTGGCTGAGATTTTCCTGTTCGTTCCGTAACTAGGCGCTATCTGAAGATATAGATTCCTAATATCTTAGCATGCCAATTAGTGTTGAGCTTCTTAGAGCTGATCAAATCGCGTTTCTTCATGCACGGAGACCACCTCCAGGACTAATTATAATATACAGCTAAAGCTTCAATTATCACGCTGTGAATGTTGTGATTGGTTTGCGTTGCCGCAGGAGTCTAACACGCAATCCATGCTTGGTGTTGTGGCACGATACGTGATCGAGCTCAAAAGATCAGAGGGGCGACCCGCAATCGAGTAGATAGAATAAGCTGAAAGGTGATCGCTGTAAAGGATTGATTGGAGAAGGTGCCTATCTACGTACGAAAGAAAATCGTAATACATACCACGAGCTAGTCACGTGATGCTACACTACAGTGTATGGCTGGAGAAGCTATTTCCGCCCTGCCCAGCTCGTATCAAAAAACTCGAAATAGGATATTGTTAATTCTGAGAGCTTGGTACATACGACCATCGGAGAAATAGAATTAGGCATCCCGTCCGATCTGCCCTATACAAGCTTTCTACCGGCGGATTAGTAGTTAGGTGGGTGACCACTAGCGAATCCCCGCTGTCGTATGTTTTTGAATTTTTTTGCCGTGATGTTGATATCACGTGAGCAGGACTTAGTAGACTTATAGTAGCGCTGTAATAGCTATAGCTACTATATATATGGCGATAGATAATAACCCTTTGTTACACGGGGTCTGGAGTGCTAATACTTCTCTGGCTC